ATTGACATTCTGCGGACGTCCACCACGCTGGACGAGTCATTCTAAGTTTCGAATGCTCAATCATAGTCAGTACTAAACTTAGAACTGAATTCAGAAGCAAGGAATTTCTTTTCCTTTTTTCTCTTGCGGCATGTTTCGATCTTGAGCTTCGGCGGAAACACATGCACTGGCCCTGAGGTTCCAGGTCCTGAGACTGTGAACCCACAGATAATTCCTCTTTTCGATGGTAGAGGTTCTAGGATGCAACTCATTGAGTGTAATTGTGTCTTGATTGAATTGAACTGAATTTACTCCTGTACAGAGTTCTAAGTACAGGTAGTCTTTGAGGGCAAGTTCTAGATTGTAACAACCACATTAAAGAAGCTCACACCGAAAAAGCAGGATACGAACTTAACTTTTTCCAGTCATATCATGGGAGTGCGCATCGAGTGCTAAAGGCTTGGTAATTCAGAAGTTGTTTGTTGTAACTTGAAAGATTGCATGAAAGTCATAGGTTACTCCACTTGAGAGTTTGCTGTAAAAATTTCTTGAACTTGATAATAGAAGGCAAAAATTTTTGCTTCTAATATCAAGTTCAAGAAATACCGACATGATTGGTCTTTTAGAACCGATGCTGATCTGAAAAGTCGCAATGAATGAAGTGAATGTAATCTCTCTTCAAATTATTTTGAAGTTGTGTTTTGAATATACTAGTCAAGCTTAGATGTGTAAGTTTAGCTTTCATTGTGAGAAGGCCGGAATTATAAAATGAAGTATTGATTTCTTCCCAAAAAACCATTTCTATGATCGCTTGGTAAGTCAGAAAGATATGCATGGAGCAAACAAATTTGAGCCATGTTTATGAGCTCATTCGATCGATGAGGGAATCATTTACATTACAGTTTTTCAGAACCACTTGATGTAGTCTTCACGTTGTTATGATTGCTTGGTGCGCGCTGTCAAGCTACTGCACCTGTACTCGAAGCGATGCTACCAAGAACTTAAAGCTCAAACTCGAGATGAACTACACAATGAATATGTTGCATGCTGGAGGTAAGAGGTGGTAGGCAAGAGCAGTGTAGCAAGAAGGGTGGGAAGGCTGGCATACACATAAGATCTAAACGATAACACAAGGCTAGCTCCAATAGCATCACTATAGAAAATATATCATGTTACCCTTACCATATCCAAACAATCTTGGTCAAATATTTTAAAATTTAACAAGAGAATCCCACTTTGAAAAACTTAATCCAACATGATCATTCTTGTACGGATTGCATCAGTTCTGTTTCTATGTAATGAGGATATAATTCATCGAAAGAGTCTATGCTATAAACTGATAGAGTAAACACTTCAGCAGATAGTATGATACGCTTTCAAAGTCATCTACTATAGTTCCATTAAACTCCAAGGTATCATAGCAAGTTTACATTTCCAAATACATGAATACACACGACAATAAACCGGTCATACCGAGCTAAAAACATATTCACTACTATTTTTTGCAACACTAATTTTACTGAGAATAAATATTATTTAAACACAACTATTTCATAAAATCCAAATTTCATAAACAAAAATTCCTTCATTCAACTGAGGAGAAATTTCTCATTTTGTGCGATAGTGGGGCTCCAATGGCGGGTTATAAAACATCAGCGGAGGCAGGTCAGTTCCGAAGATGGATCCGTGGGCACTCTCGCCTGAAGTGCACGAATGTTGAACGAGAGAGGAGTCGATCGTCCACCTCCGCAGCGGACCACGACTCAGACAGGTGATGGTGTGGCGAGCAGCAGACCGAAGTTGTCGCCCGATCGGACGAGCCGGGCATACATCGGTCCGATCGGGACGCAGTGCTTGGTGAAAGCCACATCGCATGAAGCCTGCAACCACTCCTCGCAATGGTTGGCGGTGTCTGGTCTGGGCCAAGAAGGCCCTCACGGAGGTCATGTCCATGGAAGAAGGATCGCTGCTCGCAACCGCACCAGATCCAGTGTATCCGCTACAGCGTATGGTCTCTGAATTTGATTCTGAGCTCCAGCATCCTCGAGGCGTATGGGAAATGACATTTAAGGAGGCGTAGCAATTGTGCTTATCTGTGACGATCTGCACCTCTTCCACAAAGGCGGTGGCATGAGTTCTTGACCTTCTGGTCGTGCAAAGAGGTATTCTTGGACAGGGATTCCTTTTAACGATGCTGACCGACTATGGAAGTTAGTGTGATCTCAAAACGGAGTGGCTTCAGTTTGTAGGTCCTGCTCGCTTTGCGGATTTTACCTCCATCGAAGACACCCAACTTGGGCTCTTCAGAATTTACCCTCTTCATGCAGTCCTCCACTCAAAATGATATGAAGGTTTTCATCGCTGTGTCAACATCCTGATACATCGATACTGTCTGAGCTGTGGAAGGCGAGAGCCTTTTCATTTCCCATTCAGAAATTTTATATCCGGAATGGTTTCTACAATCCAGTCAAGTCGGTTTGTAACTTTTGAGATTCTACTCGTATATTAGCACGCAGAAACAGGTGTCTTTACATGCTCCTTCTAGGAAGCTGTATATGAATGCTGGGATCCAACTCAAAATCAACGAGATACTAGAATTTCATGTTTCTCAAAAATAAGTGTTAGCTGATTCCGGGTCAAGTGTTCCAAAATTCGGACCATTTCATCACGACTGGTGGGCTTGTCGTCCGAAGAGTTTACACGCCATTTCTAATGATTACGGTCGCAGATAAATTATGCACTTGAAAGGGTTTTGCAGTACAAGAGGTACCCAAACCAATCGTGGTCAGCCATAGTTGCTTCTAAGTTGAGCCGAATGGGTCCAACATAAAAGTCTCAGAACACAGCAATAAGGAAATCATTGGTTTGACACATCCATCCATCCATCCATCCATCTTTCTTCGGCAAACACTGGAGAAGCAGTGGCATTTTGTGTTGAAGCTCCAACAAGAACTGCGATCTGCAGCAGTCCAATGACAAAGCGAACAACCATGATTTCCTTCTGCAGGACATAATCTGCCTCCCCCTGAGTCGGTCCCACCCGCAAGTTCGAACACAAGACAACACCTCTCCAGCGAGGCCTTTGACTCAGAGGAATCTGGTCTTCCAGGATGACAATGCTTATAAAGGCTAGCCCAGCCTATAAGACAAATCGTGTTCCTTACTGGCACCAGAAATTCGGAGGCAATGGTTCGGGTGAGAAATAGGACGAGAGCTTCGTCCTATTTCAGCCCCAGATACAACTCATAGATTACGAACTATTGTTGTTTGGTCGAGAGACGACTTCAACCCTTTCGGTAAAAGCAATAACATCGACGTTGACACCGCAAGGGCACGTCACTCAATCGGAGCGCCGGGCAAATCACACGTTCAGATTATTGTGGAGCCTTTCTCAAACTCATTCATCCAGTCCACCAATATGAGAATAGGCTACATTGTCCTTACTGTCCGACCGTACTGCGGTTCGTCACTCTGACGTCATAGCTGATGAAAGTTGCAACTTATCCTCTAAACTTCTTACCTTGCCCCTCGTTCCTGATATTTTTTCCGGAATCAAACACAACTGCGAGTGGCTTCCGCCTGTTGACTTAGGCGAAGATGGGAAAGCTTAGCTGCCCCGAATGGTTTCCTGTGTCAGACACAAGGATCCGAGTTTAATACCAGATCCTCGCGCTGTGTTTGTACTCGCCGTTCGTGTCGGGCACGCGCCTTGAGAGGCATGCAGGCTGATGCTGCAGCTGAGCATGCTCCGACAGTACGCCGTCGCGTGTGCTCTCCAATCCCGCATTGGAGATAAAGTCGTGGACCTACTCTGGCGTGCTCTTACCGGCCGGACATTGACAACGAGGCTGAGTTTAAAGCACACACAGGAGACTTGGAATGCCGTGTTTCCAGCCTCAAGGTGATCAAATTTCTCGTCGCTGTGGGCGACTACAGGGCAATTGCGGACTGCGTTGGTGGCGATTATGACCGCAATGTGTTCACTGCTGTTTATGGGTTCCGGGCCGACTTCTAAGAACAGATTAGCGCTAAATTGTGATTATCATCGATGAGCAAGTGAAAAACTGAATCCACGGTACGAGGTGTGGAGTCCTCTAGATATGACGATGATGCTCTCCCCTCAGATTTTCGAATCCTGCAATTTCTTTCCGCATCTCATGCCTCTGCAAGCGGATCTAAATTAGGGAGTTACACCATTCATTCATTTAAGAGTGTTCATAGCTATGCCCAGAATCCATACTGGTGCAGTGTAGAGCAGCCGTACAAAACATACTTCAGCCATCGTTTTCAGATAGCACTCGTGCCTTCATAAACACGATACTCCCTCCCCGTCACTGTGCAACAACAATTCCAATGTAAACAAAGCTCCCAAATATCATACGTTATAAATGTAGTGAGAAATGTTCACCCATTCATGAAACGAGGAATTGTATTACACGGTGTTCTGTGGAAGTCTAACAAAAGTTAAGTGAAAAGAATGGCCTGAAAATCGTATTCGAAGATGGTAACAGCGGAACTTTACAATTGCAGATATCCTATGACTGGGGTTTGGTATTGTTTCTATATGCAGATACAGATAACTGTAAAGAATGATGCAGACGTGCAATTCGCCTTCGGGTCCTTGTTTGGACTTGTGACAGTATTCCACAAGCCAGCTGCATTTCTGTCGTGCTGGCTGTCTTCAACTAGATTAATATTTTCTGGAATGGCGGCCGATCTTCTTGCTCGCAAGTTCTGACGAAGATGTGCGCAAGACAAAAGCCAGCCGCCACGGCATTTCCCGGTTTTCATGTGTGAGATTTTTGAGGACGTGGACTCGAGATCCAACAGCTGAGGCCCATGAACTCAGAGGGTGCTGGCTGCCGCCCAAACGATGCTGGAGACGGCAAGCGCCACAGCGGTAGCGCGACCAGAAGGCAGATGGTGCGCACATGCAGCGCTGTTGACGGGCTTGAGGTCGTTGATAGCTTCGAGCGAATTCACAGCCTTCTCGAGAGGGCCGACGAGAGTATCGGCTGTGCAACAAAGTTTTAGTGGCATCGGCAACGAAAATGGTGCCTGCTTTGTTGTTTCCTTGGAAGAACAGTCTGTTGAATGCGAGGTCATTGTTAGCAGCATCCATCACTGCGTGGAACTCCTTGAGCTCCAGGTCAGGCCAGGTCACGGAAACGAAGACAGTATGAGGGGGAGCTGATCCGAAGTTGCACTTGGCGTAGTTCGCTATGTCGGTGCAGCTCTCGCCATCCAACGGAGTCGGGCACATCAGTGCATAGTCCGAGGCAGGGCCCAGTCCAACCCAGTCTGACTGCGCATTGGGTCCATTGGATGCATAGTCACTCGGAACGCTGTGCTTCGTGAACGCAATGTCGCATTAGTCCTCAACGAGGCCTCGGAATGCCCCATGGTAATCGTAGTACTCGTCTTCCTGCGTGCAGCGCGTGGTGTTCTTACAGGCACTGCAGATTGCTTTGGTGTTGTCATTCGTTGGGGCGCAGCTCTTCAAGAAGAAATACTTCAACGATTGAATGTCATTGGAACTAGGTCCGCTGCTACACATCCGATGCCCGCCAAGTCAACGCCATGTTAGATACTCGATGCATTCCGATCGATGCAACTGCATGCCCACATTGCACTCGAATTACTTCCAATAATCACGTGGCAGAGAAGCAAGGGAAGAGCGTGTACGAGGTGATGACGGGCATGATGTTGTTGTTGACGAGGAATGTCAAGGGAATAGTCCATCCGGCAGATCTTCCGTAGCCGCTGTGGCAGGAGCGCTTGCCCCTGAGGGAGCCGAGGTTTCTGGGGCAGTTTCTGCTCTTGACGATGCCGACTGAGTAGTACTTGTCAGTAGATGTTCCGGTGATCTCGAGACGAACAGGCTTCAGCTGATACTTGGAGCTGGCTTTGCGGATGTTGCCTCCATCGAAGACACCGATTTTCGCTTCCCCGGCACTGATTTTCTTCATGCAGTCCTCGGGTCCTTCGCCAACGACGCTGTGTCAAGAAATAGGAACAACGTCAAAAGGGAACATCGTGATCTGAGTTTTCTTTCGTCTTATGAATCTGCATTGAACACATGGAGGTCTGCTAGGAGGGAGCCTTCCGCTCTGACAAGAACATTCTGACACTCGTCTTTCGCTACATCCGCTGCAGAGGCAGATGAAGGCTGAGGACCAGCATGCACGTGTGCAGAATTGACTGCATTTCTTGGATTTACACTCAATTACTCCCGGAGACTAATCTCAAGAAGCAATTATAATTTACCAGGAATACTTGTGGGACTTCTCTGGATCCAAGCCCTCCAAGATCTTGATCATCTCATCGCATACAGGTTTATCACCGGCCGAGGTTATACACCATCCCCAATCTGTTCAAGACGAGGCAACGTACAGAGTCACCTCACATAGTTGAGTTGAGAATCCCGTTCTCGGTTGAGAAGAGTCTCACGAAAGGTTAGCAAGTGCAGAACATGGCACTATGTCGCGACATGATCTTACTTATCACGCTCGGAGTATAATGCCAGTTCGAGGACTCCAGCATTCACATCGCGGCGCATAAATATATACTAGCAGAAGAGGCAGGCAGACGAGGAAGAGCAGCGATAGGCATACCTTCATCATGTGGTGAAACGGGTGGTGCTGCACTCTGGGCCTTCGCCCCGACGAAAAGCACAACAAACAGAAGCATTACCATTGCAAGAAGTATCTTTGTGTCCATTCTGACTCCACTGCTCCCAACTCCTTACAATCCTTCACCCAAACATGGAACGACACAGCCTTTTATGTGATTAGAATCCATTAACGCACTGCTACAACAAACTTGCACATCTTTCCTTGTAGTGTCTGACCATCCTCGATGCGCTTGCCGGCATGAACGACTAGATGTCCAGGATCGAAAATGAACGTACGCATGCTATTTCTCACATTTGTCATTTTCTGGAAATAACGAGTTATTACGATGGCCTCAGATTCTTGCACAAAAATTCTATTGAGCTATCGGATTCTCCTCGGTACAAGTGCGCTAATTCTTCCGTGAATGCATGGATAGTCGCAGAAAGCCTGCAGTGCAGGAAGACGAGAGGCACACGCGTCGATGTACATGCTTACCCCGAGGCAGGTCGAGTTGAGGCGACGAATCCTAGCGACTGGAATCTAAGGGCGTTGTGGAGAGAGAGAGAGAGAGAGAGAGAGAAGAATCGGGAGCCGATGAATGGCGAGAACGAGCTGCTTTGAATCACATGACAAGCCAGTGACTAATATGTCCCTCGGGCAGAGAATCTGATCCGGAGAAAGGTCCATGGTAGGAGAAAAGGCACAGTGCCTCGGCCCACGAGTGCTGAACAGTTTCCTGTCTGTCCCTTGCGATGGCGGCGGACCCGGCAGTACATCCAATAATCCTCTTAACCGTGCAGCTTTAGCTACATTGCAACACATTGATTCCTTGCAGACCTTTTTCTTCCTGGAAGCTCTTCAACTCCGTCACTAGGAGCAGCAGCAGCACTTGCTACCTCCTCTGCCCTGAGCTCTTTCATCTCTCTATCTCCATATCTCTCTCTCTCTCTCTCTCTCTCTCTAACACACTTGCACATTCCCAGACTCTCTCCCTCGAAGTCTATGTTCATACAGTGCTCGAGACCACGCGCAACTCTGTCCAATTCTGACACGAACTGATGCTACAGCCGAATCAGACATTATGGAAGTCACAACGGCGCTTGAGTCACAGATCTACTGTAACTGGCTTCTGCCGCCACTGCTGCCATGTCCTACGGCTGGCTGGTGGAGTTCAAGCCTGATTTGGCCTATCTCGCAAATCATTTGGATGCGGTGAGCACGCGCGCAGCCACAGAAGGGTTCCCACAGTCTGTGAAGTACACGATCTGGATGGTTTCTGAGGGGAGCTGTGTCGACCGTCCTTCCGGCGGACTTGACGATCAAGCACGAGTTCGCTGTTTGGGACGATCATATGGATGTTGCAATCAAGCGGACACCTCACACCACACGCTCTGAGCGCAGGATGTAGCAGACTATCTGGAGCTTGACGTTGTCCCAACACACGACTCCTGGGCTTGTTGCATGGGATCATAGTGACAGGAGATCGCCACTATATATCCTCGGAAATTGCTCTCCAGTCTGTCTACCTGGAATGCTTGATGGATGCACTTCAAGATCAATTGCGGTGCGATCCATCCCATCGAGTTGCAAAGCAGAGTGCTGTAGAGGCCACTAAAAACTCCTCACTCTTCAAAATCATGCTCCTCTCTCTCTCTCTCTCTCTCTCTCTCTCATCATCATCACTAGCCAAAGCAATTTCGAGTGGAAGAAGCTGATTTTCTCCAATCAATCACTGCCTTTCAGACCTCATCTCTGTTGGCCCAAGTGTCTAGAGGCATATTCTCTTATCTGTAACCCCTGCCGTTTGAACCATCTGGTGAAAGTGGATTTGAAAGCTCTAAAGCTTGTACATTTGGGAGCATAAAGATTCTTGGTGCATATGAATTTGGATGTGGAGTTCAGCTTTACATTCTTGAGTTCTCGATTAATCTTGAGAATTCGTCAGATCATATCCCAAGTGTGAGACTACAACCTCTCCCATTATCAGGATAGGAGAAGAAAGAAACCTCTCTGTCTATCTCTCAGGTACCGTCTGTATGAGAAGGCTGCCGTAGATTGTAAAAAACTTCTCACGAAGTCACCGACAGAAAATCTCTGGAGATGTCGGCCGCTCATGTCTCTTCGGGTGCCTTGGTTAGTGATTTGAATCCGAAGCAAAGACTGGAACTGACGAAATATGCTGCATACTTCATATTTCCAGCATGCCACACTGCATGAAGGTAATGAATGGCAACTGACACTGTCCAATCTTCTGGTTATTCTTCGACCACTCATAACCCACGTGCATGCTACAGACGTGTACTTGAACACCAATCTGGGCGATTGCTACTGCATGCTGCTGCGAGGGCGAAAAGCTTTGCTCATAACTTCCCTTGCTGCTGAGTTTTCTGGCAACTGGAGCAGGTGGTCATCGTCAAACTACCTGAAACCTTGATGCTACCGATCGGTACAACAGGTTCTACATATGATCTCGGTCTTGCTTGATGTTTTTCTCTTCCAGGCTTTCCATGACTTTTCTTATCCAAGTCCTGTAGCATGGCTAAAGCTGCAAGCTTAACAGTAAGCCGGCCCTTCGAGATAAACGAATCATTCCAGCACTCGCAACACCTTGTATAGCATGCAGTCATTCGTTGACTGACAATTCAGCAGGATTCTGCAAAGTCGGCCGGAAGGGGGCAGCCTGAATACTTACTTCGTCACAGCCCATACTTTGGCCCAACACCTGGCGAACAATAATTGTTGCGTGTAAAGCACTCCTGTCTCTGATAGGAACGGCAACTTACTGCAAACAGGATTTATCCATGTACACTGCAACGAAATATACATGGAAGCCTCGAGCTCGTATTGGGCTCAGGTTATGAAATCCTGACTCGATGATCATAACACTACAGTCTGTGATTGTACTAGCATGTCAGTACAATGTTTCCCCCAAGGAAAATCCTTCGTACAGCAGTACTAGCTCACTGCATATACAAATAAGTCTCACCTTGTAGTGACCATCATCCAGTTCAAAGTTCGACACTGTATCGACTGCACAAACCCTAGATGTCCTCACCTTTCGCAGTCTTTTTCGACACTGGACGAAGAGCCGATGAGACAACGCCATTTTTTTCTGTCAGCAGCATTCGAAAGTCTAAACACCAAAGCAGTGTATCAATCAATTCTCCACCCGAAAGTCCCCAGAACTATGCCATCCCGATTTTCGCATGTGACAATTTCATTTTCGTAGAACTGACGGAATCGCTGTTTTGCAGTGTCGTACGACAAGGGCAAATTCATTCGAAAGTCTTACTCGGTGGCGTTTGAGAAGCGAGGGTTTTGGTTTTCCTTCACCTTTAGTTTTGCAAATAGATGATCCCGGGCTTGGTATGACAGTTTTGCCAGGATGCAATGACGGACGTCCGCATTAGAGTGGTGACAGGATCACAGAGGTACAGAGCATCCAAGAATCAGATAAGATTTTCTGATCAGGAGGAGTGGATGTTAAAGTTGTTGACGGAACTCCACCGTACTTCTTCATACAACAGATATCCATCGGTTTGGGCTACTGCTTCCTCACAATTCAGACAGATACAGAGCGTCTGCTATAACTTGACATGCATTGCTTTATACTCGTGACAGCGACCATAGCTGGCAATCTGTCAGCTGGCGCCAACAGTCTTTCAGACTTGGAAACTTCGTCTTTGGCCTGGGGTCGCTACTTTCTGTCCGTGCTCATGTTCAACGCAGCAAGACGAACTTAGACCACAGACCAGAGGAGTTTGGATTAAGCCCATATAAATCGACAACACGAATCTACTCAACCACTGAACAATATGTATTCGGTAATATTAGATGTTGCGGTTGAATTTCAGATCAATTTCATAACATATTTGCTTTAATTAGATGTTAAGGGTTAAAGCCATATTTTCTTTTTTAGATGTTCTCGTGGGCACCACTACAAATTTTTTGAAACCTTTACACAACTAAGCAGAATTTATATCGCTGTCATAGTTTTTCATAATGTATGGGCGTGCATCGAGGTCGTGATAATATGATCAGCAAGTGTACAAACTTTATACCATAATGTCAATCTACATAGTTTAATATATGCATTCAATGAAATTCGAACGGCTTGTTTACACAATAAAGTTTATCAAGCTGATAAATGTGGTGAAATGTTAAAATAATAGACAATAACAACAACTTTATAGAACTCAAGTGTTCAGGTTCTAACAACTATGTAGCCTTGACTTCTGCATCAATAAACTTCTTAAAGTTCTAAGATTTTAGAACTTATATGTAAGGAACAAAAAGTATACAATTGTTGCGAAAGACAATTTACACAAGACTCCAAATAGCACTAGAAGTTCCAAAACTTTATATATAGATAATGTATATTGATATTGGAAGAGTTGGTACAATTGGTGTTTAAGAGAGTGAATGACAATGTCCCAAAACTCTCTATTTATATTCCTAGTACGCTAAAAAGAAACACTAAAGTTGAAAAGTCGGCACCATGTCTAAGGTTGAAAAAAGTCAACTTCTATATGTGAACTCCGCACCATCACTACTACTGTCATGACCGTGACATCGTACCTCTTCAAGCAACGAGTTTTCATAAGTTGTTCTATTAATCTTATCAAAAACAGAAACTAAAATTTCATTACAACAATGTCATGACCGTGACATCGTACCTCTTCAAGCAACGAGTTTTCATAAGTTGTTCTATTAATCTTATCAAAAACAGAAACTAAAATTTCATTACAACAATTTTTGTGTGATAGTCACATGATTACAGCTTGACCCACAAGTGTTGTACTCAATATCTTTGACATTAGGTTTTATCATATATTGATGACAAAATTTTTTGATAACTTTGGAATCATTAGTATGATTAGAAGCAATCTCTCAAATTCTCTTGCTTACTTCATAGCACTAGCAATGTAGAAGATATACTAAATTGCTTCGATTAATGCGGGAGTCGACGACCTTAGAAATTTCAAATTTTTCTTCTCCATTAATCTCGATTGGTGGCGGAGTTGCTAACAATCATCCCAGAATAGTCAATTTTTGTTTTTCTATTTCTGTTTTGTAAACACAAAACACTAGATGAATTTTCATAGATGATGGATAGTACAATCTATATGATATCTTGTTGACGTGCTTATTTAAGTTAAAAGTCAAATTTTTCGCTGTGTCGACAAGTCTTTAGATTGTGACACAAAAGCAAGAAATTATCTCCAATTGAGATGTTTGGATTTTGCTTTTAGGATTTGTGTGCATTTCTCTTTTTCCGCTTTGAAGCTTTTACAAGCCTTGACTTCATGTCTTTATGAATCTTCAAAAGTTTAGTGACCAGATCTTGCCCAGTTGGATTCTTTACAAAATTCAAGTTTAAAGACTTGAATTGTGGATGATAACCATAGTTTGCAAAGAATGGAGTTTGGTGAATGAACTTTTGAAATGTATTATTGTAGTCAAATCTTGCAACTAGAAGTAGATGCATCCAAATATCTTGATGGTAGTTGATGGAACACCTTATAATAATATACTACCATCAAGCAGTATACTATTATAATACTTCATTCATTCTTTGGTTTGTACATTCTTCAGAGTATGATACATCAAAGATAGATTGATTTTCATTTGTAAGATCTTCAACATGTATTATCAGAACTTGGATTTGAATTGCATGCAATGATCAAATGTTATCTGATCAACTTAACTACAATCTTGGAGAAGTTTTAGGATGAAGATTCAATGAAAGTTTGCAAAATTGAGAAAGCATGATACGTTTTGAATGGTTACCGGTTTCTTCAAATTGGTGACTGTTTGAATTTGAATCTTCGTTCAATCTATGAATGGAGACTCTCCAGAAATGATGCAATACCAAAATTTATTTTGAGATGGATGAAAAATGCAATTCTCCAATTTGACGTATAGTCCAACAATGCAACGCTTTTCCAACACTGAACAGAGGTTATTGATGTGATCTCTGCTATTTTTAGAGAAATCAATATTTTGTCAAAATAAAAAACAACAAAATCATCAATAAATATTTGAAATATGTAGTTCATCAAGTGTAGAAATATAATGTGTGTGTTGATAAGATCAAAAGATATGATATTGTATTCAAAGTATTCATACCTAGTTTGGAACGTTGTTTTCTAGTCGTTATATTTCTTGGTATGGACTAGACTGTACATTGCACAAAAATCAATCTTAGTGTGAATCTTTGCTTGATCAAGTTGATCAAAAAGTTTTGAAATACATATCAATGGATAGTTGTTCTTGATTGTGACCTTGTTTAATCAACCATAGTCAAAACACATCTAGAAGAAGTCTTTTTTCTTAAAAAATAACATTGTAACTCTAGCAATTGACTTATAATATCAAATAGAGATTTTTGCCAAAAAAATTATTAAGAAAAAAGTTATTTATATATATTATTAATCTGGCAATGCAGCAAGATTTTTATTGAAGAAGTTGTAGATTGGAACATAGAGAGTTTGTGGATCTTCTTGGAATTTGATGTCAGATTCATAAGGTTGATATTGAGGAAATGAATCAGCGTGCTTTTTTTTTAACATGTCTCAATACTCCTCATCATTTGTTGTTTCTTGGTAGGTTCTTAAACAAGTTGAAATGTCGGAAATGCATACATTGCAAATAGCTTTCATAAATTTTCTAACATCAAACATCAACGGAACTTTGATCTTAGATCCTTAGACTTGGAAAGGTTATTGGTTTGAAAATACGTCCAGGCTATTCAAATAATATATGAAAAATTATGTTCAATATCTTAGCTTTGATTTTTTCCAATGTTTTCAAAGAGCAGTTTTCTAAGCTTAACTTCATGCATCTACAATAAAAAACAATCTTCATCATTTTTTTTCTTCTTCGTTTAACTTCATAACTCTCAAAATATCAATTTTCATGGGCTCTTGGATCAAATTTCTTGAAATGTATAGAGGGCTAGAGCTATTTAATTTTCTCAATATGATCCAGAGAGCAATTGTTGCTCTTGTTGCGGCTTTAACAATAAGAAACAAGTGATCGTGAAAAAGCAGCAATTACTTGAATATTGACTTCCTACATATTAGTTGGTTTGGATAAGTTCAACAACAAGGTTTTGATATCATCGCGGCGTCCTCATCAAAACATGATGATGAGAATCATATCATTCAATTGAGGTTAAAATTCTTTAACAACATGCATATGATTGTATGCTAAAGTTAAAATGTAAAATCGGTTGTTATATGTGTTGAGTAGTAGTAGAATTAACCAAAAAATTGATCATGATTAGTTTAATGATGATGTTTATACTTGGAAATATAATTAGAAAAATTCTAGAAGCAAAATAAAAATTTTTCTATCAATATGCACATTACAAGGAGAAAATAATTTGACTACATGTTAGTTTTGATTAATTTGACTAAGTAATAGAAATTTTGTTTTTAGATTAAGTTTAAAGTTGACCTAGAGTCAACTAGAAGTTTTAGAACTTTTAAAATTTCAAATGTTAATTTATCAACCTAGGTATAATTAAACTTCTAAAAAGATTAAATATGCTTATGTAATGTTCACTATTACCCCATCTTAATAAAATTAAAAAGATGATAATGATTATATGTTATTATGGTAATTTTCCAAGTAGTTTATATAGAGTATAAACTCTTAATCAAGTTTGGAAGTTCATTGTGTGAAAATTTGTTTCACAGAATGAATAGAAGTTTGAATTACACAATCATCTTGAAATGTTGATGAGAGTTTGAAATTGAATGATGAATGGAAAGATTATGTAAGATGGTGTTTGAGACAGGGGCATGTAGAGGAATTTTTATTTTAAAATCATGATTATTTACCAAAAAGTCATCTAAGGTAAATCCAAGTTACAATCAATCCAGAGATCATATGACACAATTATTGTTGCAGTGTTAAAAGTTTTGTTACTGCTATAAGGGCTCGATTTCTCTCTTCAAACATCTTGTTGAAATCATCAAAGAGTTGATTAAGGTATGTCGCAAGTGAGGGACATTTTCCAATGTTGACAAAAATCAAAATAATATGATTCTGATGAGTAGTTTTTCAATAAGTTCAACTTGTGATTCTTTTGTTGAGTATCTGTGTGATGAAAAATGAAAGTCAAGTCAAACTTGACTGACAAAATCTTGAAGTTTTGTATGATTTATGTCAAACTTCTCAAAGTTCTTTTGGCGCTTGTGGAACTGGATTTGTTGCGGGAAATGAAACATGCATTGGAACGCGAGTAACTTGGAGTTGATTCATGGCATTTTGTATGCTAACAACCTTTTGTTATATCTACAACATGTAAACCACTTTGTGCATCTAGATTTTGGAAGCTTCATCCATCTTGGATTCAATATGCTTTGAAGTTCACTAGTCAATGCAGTAGCAAATCTTCGCGTTGTGTACTCTTGAGACGACCACAAGAAGTGAAGATCTCAAAGTTTTGAGACAAGACTGGTAATGGATTCTCGTCAACTCACACAAGACTCAGAACAATACTCAAAGCTCCAAAATTTGAAATAATATCACTCAAAGCAAGAAAACTAGCAGTTTTGATACTAGAAGAGTAGATACAACTGATGTTGACAAGAGGGACTAAAAATGTCACGAGAGTCGTTATTTATATTACTAAGACACCACTGAGAAACTCTAAAGGCGAAAAGTCTTTGAAGTTGAAAAAAGTCAGTTACTACCTCCTTAGTGTAGAATGCTTGACAAAAATGTTTGTGGATATAGTAACATTTTTGTTTTGGCTAATTTATATCATTTTAGTGAATAGCATTAAACCAAGAGATATTTGAGTGGATGGGGAATGAGTATGCAAGCTTATGACACTCTAGTTTCTAGATTATATGTGTGAATGTGCACAAAGTTTGCACCCTTTTTTCCTTACTACATATTGTTAGTTCTTGAAAAAGACGGTGGTTTGGATCGACTTGTCACTTTAACCTAAAGCATGTGATGAAACACTCACCTGCTCACCACAAACTCCTATCGAACCTAGACCATTGATTTCATATCATTCTCATGTCAATTTCATTCTATTGCAAAAAGGAGTAAAAGAACCTAAATTCTGTGGATGATGATATCGTGCGTACCAACACGTCTTTAAAGTCTATTTACGCAATCATTGTAATCGGGAGAAACTGTGCAAATGTATGTCCAGTACCTGGTAATGACCGCAGACCACCTTGCGAAATTATTGACATCAGATTGAGCTTGTGACTTCCAGCAAATGAAAAGAACCCGAAGGCCCCACCGAGATTCGAACTCGGGCTCTTGGATTCAAAGTCCAATGTCGTAACCACTAGACTATGGGGCCACGTGTTCAAAGACTTCTAGATTGTTATTTGATTGATTAATAAAAGCACAATATAGGGGATTGTCCGCAAACTGTGAACACTATAATACTATTTACGAAGACTATCAAATAAAGGCTTGGAATTCTGATGCCTGAAAAACAACCTCATCTTCGATCACCATGATCGAAAATGTTTCAATTCCTTGTCGTTCGGGACCAGGAGTTGAAATCTCTTCTCCAGTAGTAAAATATGGACGTTGATTTACGCATGATGATCACTGCCAGGAACTTTCGGATTGTTCGTGAGGGAATTGGGTTTTTGATCATATGTATGAGAGTCTTTGCTTTGTCGTATGTGCCGTATCTGCACTGCACTGAAATTCAATATGAGCTCTGAGGCAGTAGCCCAACAACCTGTCTACCGTCCACGTCCAGTGACGGTATGAGACATCTTCAAAGATGAAACGGGCAGAGTTTCTTTGGGATGATGCGATCGAGTTACTGATACATGACTCGATCGAATCATCGGGGCAAGAGGAAATGAAAACCCACGTGATGAAAGCCCGACTCTGCTGTCTGTACAGCTTCACGATCAATGATAACATTCTCACTCAACAATTAAAATTTGTCTCAAGTCTGTCTACTAGATCTTCATACTCTTAGACATAACCATGTTCACTACTTGCTCAGTAAGAAGGTAACAGATGAGAGTGGGCTTCACTTCCGTAAGCGGTTATATCTGATTTATGGGATGCGTCCTACAAGACCAATGGAATTGAAAGTTCTGCATTATCCTTTTTTCATTGAAGATAGATCATCATAAGAGGAAAGTGAATGTCAATGATTGCCCGAGTGAAGTTGAATGACTGCTACGTTCGGATAATCTCAGGATGAAGCTGAATATTTCACTAAAGGATTACTGTAGTCAATCACGAAAATTATTAACTGGTTGCGTACGCAGACAAATTTTAGTCAAGAGACACAAGAACACAAAAAGCTGTCAAGACGCTTTTGTTTGTCACCGCTATCGATATCTCGACAACGTCAAAGTGATCATAGGAACATGTGACGAACACCCAAAAGCACTGAGACTGATCTACCATAGGTCTGCGCCATCGTCTCGAAGATCCAGAGTTGAAACTTCCTACTTCAGATCAGATGAGATGAATTTCCTCCACCCGAAATTCAAACTAATTCTTATATGATATTCGATTCTAATTAAGTCCCTCTTAAGGCCGTCCCATTGATCTGTAATTCAATTTTTTTGCGTATTTGAGCATCGACGTACAAGTATTTCACAAGTGTGTCCTTACATTGTTCGTGGAATTGATTTGGTGCCTTCAGTCTTCATGAGGCAGTGACACGATCACATTAAACACTGCGATTCACTTTGGAATGATCCATAACTTCAAAGGCACCAAGTGTCATCGTGAAAGATTGACTAGCATCAATGTCGTCATCTACGGTCTAGACTATCTGAATAAACAATGAAACCTAGAAGACCTCGACAACGCAGTGGCATGGTCTGGTTAAGAGCAGGGCTTCTGAAGAAAGAATCTGTACATTGTTTCTAAGCAAAATCTCGAATTGGCGACAATCTGGAATTGGACAGAGAGCATTTACACCTGTTTTGGGACCGCAATTCAATCAGCAGACCCTACAATGGCCAGCTACAATGGCTCGGTCTGATATCATTGTACAACGTGCAATTAGAGTTCATTTGGGTCGATTTTTTTGGTTGTGCTTTGTGGCACAGCAGCACCCATACTATTTCAATGGTTGGTAAGTAGAGATGTTTCCACAGGTGCTCCTTTTTTTAATGGTACTATAATACCTATTTTTACATCTTTATTACTTGTTTTAGTTGGACGTGAAAGCCATTCGCACTCAATCGATGGAGTCGGGATCGCACTAGTTTTGAATGCAGTTCTGTAAACACAAAGCTGAGAGGCCAGAATCATCAACCTCCCCCGCCTCCTCCCCCTCCTCCACCACCTCCACCTCCACCACCTCCACCACAACCTCCTCCGCCTCCTCCGCCTCCTCCAGTATCTCCTCCAAAGCCTCCTCCTCCAAAGCCTCCTCCAGAATCTCCTCCGATTCCACCACCTGCAGATCCTGCAGATCCTCCGAAACTCGCAGAACCAGCGCCGGAGTTACGTGCGCCGAGAGATGAGAGTCTGCAGACTGCCCCGATGAGAATGAACAGCGCTACAGCGCCAATGAATACTGATATCGGCACCCAGATAAAGCCATTCATGATGAGGAATGGCGAGGTCTAGCACGTTTCGCTTGCTCTGCCGATTTTTAAATCGTCGGCGTCGGAGGGTGAGAGGAAGTCGTGAGGCGTAAGGGATACGCTACGTATGCGCGTCGGACAGACCGTTGAAGGCTGTATGGGGGACCAGCTGAATCGCAGCTCGTGTAACCCCCCGCTGGAACTGCTGCAGACTAGCGAGCTCGTTCGATCCGATCGAGCTTATTCTTGATCGCTGCTCGCTGTTCGCCAATAGAAATTTCCTCGATATCTTCAGTGCGCAGATCTCACGAGCCTTTGAGTTTTAAACTTCAGACGAGCGATGAACTAGTGAATCGAGACACCGTCGATGGAATTATACTCGACTATCAAACCAAAGATTGAACCTCTATGAAGCTCAGGGAAGAGACCATCAAATTTGCATTCTTGCTCCGGAGATTATCTCGAGTATAGCGCCTGTGTCAGATGGTGATCCTTGCCTCGATCATTATATAGGCTTGTCCTAGATGCGCGAAAAAACCCAGGAGACCTGAGACAGCTTGTGCTCCACGTGACGTGTTTTCCGATCCAAGACTGGAGGAAGTGGTCTTCGACCACGTGTTTTCGAATCCTCATCGTGGGATTGAGTATTACTCCATAGCCGGAAGCCATCATGTGTACGATTCGGATAACAGGGGCTCAGGGCTTGCCTAGTCAACGCCGATGCAAAAGTCGACGGAATCAGGGCCATCGTGAAAGACCGCCACAGCTGGCGTCCCTTGAGGGACACTCGGACATCCAGGAACTGTAAGGTCCCCACGGTGCAGCGAAGAAGTTGCAGGATTACATCGCATCCGATTGCCTCGAGCGCAAAACGGTCAAGGCTTGGACTTAGCGTGCCATGCCTTGACTAAAGAGAGGTCTTTCGTCTTCTAGTCATTGATTAACCCCCATCAACTCGGTCAAAGAGCGCAAAGACTCCTAGCTAGTGGCCAGTGCTGTGATTGGTGAGATGATCGTGGAATTGAGAGGACACGGCGCGTCTGCGATACACAGGTGCGAGAGAAATTGGCTGCACTGCTGCCAACAGTTCACTCCAATGTTCCAGTATCATTGGAAGACTTTCCAGGAAGTGGGATCCCACGATTGCAAAATCATCCAACTCGCAGCTCTATGTAACCTCCGACGTTTCGAAGCAATGAGTGTAGGGGAAGTGCATGCAATTTGGAACCCAATTACCACTTTGTGATATAATTCTGCTTCTTCATACTTCCCTACGCTCAAGAGCCTTCAGCACGCATTTAGATGTCATCAGTCCACTTTTAAGTGATCTATATCTGCACATAAATCCCGAAATCGAAATCGCAAAACAGCGAGCTCGAAAATGTGAGTGTGATCGAGCATTTCCTGCACATTTCGGGTCTCAAGGTCTCGTATAGCAACCCCTGAACAATGGATGCGAGTAGTTCTCCGGACATTCTGAGCTTTTTCTCCTCTCGAACCGCGGCTCCCAAGCTTCCCTCGTTTGAAGACACCCTTGGAACATACTGTAAGCCTCGAGTTTGGCTTACTTGCTGCCTTTTCTCAACTGATATCAGCAAGAAATCGCTGCAGATACAACATGAATATGACTTGTTAGCGATGGCTTTGCAGATGCAGGATGGATTGATCCATGCTTTCCTGTCATCTCCAAAACCCCATGCCTCAGCTGCGCATAGTGTTCCAGTGCCGCCCTTCTTCAGAGAAATGCCTTCAGTTTACCCGTGACACGCTAATTTATTCCGTTCGACAGCTGGTCAAAAAATCATGGACAACTTTGCTGATTTTTCCAAATATTTGGCTTGTTTCTTTGACGCAGCAGGCACGGGTAGCGTCTGATTGGTTTCTTTTCTATTTAGACCAGTAACCAAGTAGAACGATCGTCATCCGGCCTGCGAATCGAGATCTACATTGAAAATGAGCATAGCCATAGAGATTTATACCACAACTTCTCACAGTTGAGCCTGTATGTTCTCCTCGTGTTTGGAAACCTGTAAACTCAGTCGGAATCTGGGCATGAACTACATCACAAACACTTTCCAATTTTCGTTTTAAACACAATTTTGCGTTATTAACCTCGGATAATTGCATGTAGTGCCCGGGATTGAAAGTGCTACATTCAACCGAATCTTGCTGTAAAACCAGAAGACTAATTTAAGGACTCCAAGGAGAAAATACAAAGAATGTTCGGGCGGAATCGAGCTCTGATTTCAGGCGAGATTTTGAATTCTCACAGAAACCTAGGTAAATTCTTGCGTCCTGTATATGCTCTGCAATCGAGCAGCAAACGAATCATAGGTTTGTTTGGAACGCTTGCATGTAAGGCCCAGAGAACTGGATTCTTAATCGGTGTCATGAGTAAACTCGACTGTAGCTCATCTCGGTTTCTCGAAGAGCCCTCTTACCGAGATATGGACAGAAAAAAGTCACTGAGCTTCCTCTAGTCCAACCAGTACTTTCGCCTAGCCGAGCTTGTGCTGTCATGCAGCAGTGAGTTCAGAGAATCGCTCTGTCCGGATGTCATCTGGTCTTGATTCGTCGAGGACTTGGATCATGGTTATCAGGCACAACATCCGAGACCATTGCGCATTTACAGCACACAAGCGTGGCCCAACGTCCTCCAGACCCTGGCTGTACTGGTCTGCTGACAACGATTCGAATTGTAGATTCTGAAGCACAAGAGTCACAAGAATATCGTTTACAACCAATTTCACGTTTGTGCGCGTGGCTTGATCCTTAGGATTCACTATAGATTTTATTTTGCATCTGATAGAAGTGCTTGTAAAGGGTGTATGGTAGCCCGACGTCGAAACAGGAAGAATGTTTGCTCATTTTTCTCGCACCAAGTCCAGAAAGGAGATCAAGTGCCCATCTGAAGGACAATTTAGGTTTTGATTCCAATCTCTATGCGTCTCATATGGATGTAGAACGATGCACTAAATTTGAAGGTCAACACGGATGCACATGATAGTCAGAGGCGAGCACGGCTTAGAACAGAAGAGGAGGTTATTAAGGGCCTGGTAAGAACAAGATCGGATGGAATTGGCTTATTCAGGCCGTCTCTGATACTTGCAGAGCTTCCTTAAGAACACAAAAGCAATTCACTTGGAAGCTGGATGTAAATTCTTTCTCTCAAGACATGTAACTTAAGAATGAACACAGTAGCTGGTGAAAGGTAGGAAAGCGATCAGCCGCAAGCTTTTGTGCGAAGAGCCTGGTGGCTGAAGATTGCGGGGTATTGTCCTCTCAGGTCATGAGCTACAAAATCAGTGGATCAACTACAAACCTGCAAAGTCCATAACAGCGCGATAGTTGATACGGATGAAGAAGATTCCTCAGGGGAACATTTCGGTAATCAGTCTAAACGTTCAGAGGAATTTAGATACTCGTTGGCAAAGCTGCTTCAACTTGTTCCCAAATGTTGATGAACAATGGAGACATGGAGGTAGTTAAAGTGTCTAGGTACATCAACTATCAAGAGTCTAGGTACTTCATCATTGTGGAAAGTGGGAGCTTTAAGGGAAAGGGACTGCTGCCCTTCATATACACAACATTGAGGTCTTCTATAATCGGTGGGACTGCTGGTGTGGAGTCCGTTTTGAGTTGTCAGCATCGGGACTTGTGCTCTCATCGTATACCTCTCCCTATAATAAAGCATCTTGTACAGGTTCCAGTTCTCAATGCAAGATACACAATGTTGGAAACTCTAAATGCGTTATGTCTTCAATTCATGAATTGACAGCAGCAGCACCACCACCACCAGAGCCATCTCCTACTACTCCCCCTCCATCTCCTCGAAGGGTACCACCGGAATCAGCTCCTGCTTCTCCATGAGCACCATCATCAGCCCCTCCTACACTTTCTTCTTCAAGATCTCCAGTATTATGCTCACTTGGTTGAGGAATGGCTCCTCCGGATTCAGACTGAGAGCTGTAGTCCGGCAGAGGAAAAATTCCTCTTATGACGATGAAAATGCATACGCAACCGACGACAACGGCAAAACTTACGAAGATGGTCGTAGATACGTGTGATGGATTCATCAAGGAAGATAAGAATTTGCAGGCTCCTGCTGCGATTACTGCCTGTTTAAACGGTAAGACTTGAAGGGTACGCTGAATATATATCGAGATATATGCGTAGCTAGATTTGACAGCCGGCCATACTATGAACCAGACTAGATAGAGTTATGGCACCCCTGTATAGATTCTCTTGATCCTTTGATGAAGACTTGCCTGAGGTCTATGGAGGAGATAAAACGCGGCTGACCGAGACCCAAGGATAGCCTGCTTGCAAATTACGGTTCTTTCCGACGAACTTCTCCAATTTCTTCTTGTTGCCTGCAGCTACATTCTCCGCTCTTCCTGTGCAGCAGATCGCTCATGTTAGCTGATAGTTCGATCTCCAGCCTCCTTCCGCCGAACCGTGACCAGCAAACGTCTTCAGGGGAATATAATTTCATCCCTTCAGCAACCTGCAGATAACGATCCAAGAGCTCGTTTTCTTTTCCGGAAACGATGGCATCGACAGAGGACGGGCTGTTGAACTTCCGATAGATTTATTATCACATCCAAATCGCTAAAATCCAATCCTTCGGGCGGGACTTGAAAACAGAAATGCGATCTCGAGACAGTCGGAAGTTGCAACGCCCGCCCTCAGCCTGTGAAGCTCCGCAAATCAGCTCTTTGAGTATGGTTTCGGCCACCCCAAAGAGCCATGCGTGAGCAGTTCTGTGCGACCGACGAGCTAGCGAATCTCGAATGGTTGAAACATTTTAATTTTCTCACTTTAAACAGACAGTGCGTCCATTTCCGTGATTCCTCAACATATTCGACAGAATAGAGGAAGAGAAGTTGCACCACAAAAAAGGACAAATGTTCTGCGACATTATAGGCTGGAGTAGCGATCCTGTAGGAACCGCTCAAGTTGCGCCGACACCAAAAGAGAGTAATTTTAAGAGCGAGGGTCAGAGCGACTTCAGTCCCGTATTAGACCCGGATCTCTCTGAAATCATAGCCACCGTAAGTCTCGATATTCCTTCCTTCCCTGTGACCGTCGCTCAGCCATTGATTCCCGCTGCCCAACGTTGTCTCAGGAGCTTGTTCTAGTCCGAACAGGGTTGGTGGAAGCCAAGAGCAGCGAGTAAGCCATTCACGGGACTATGCTGCACGGCAGTCAATGCCTGAACGAGAAAGAAGCCTTGAGGTTGTAGCAACATTTTCAGCACGTGAATCAACAAACAGGGCTCAGGGCTCAGAGAGCGACGCAACGACTGACAACGATACAGACCGAGTTGAACGCCAGTCATCATTTGGGAAGGCCGCTTGAAAGACCCGCCCTTCCCAAAATGCTTGTCTGCCAGGTCCAGCCCAGCTTCTTCTTTCAACAGTCTTGCAAGACGATATACCATGTCCGTGTCTGATCGTTAGTGCCGTGAAAGCCAATCGTTCAATCAGTGAAGCCTCGTACGCCGCCCGATGAAGGTTCTCACCTCCACTGCAAGTGTTGTCGGATCAGTTTGTACTCGTCGAGTACGAACTGTGACTTCCTTTGATGTCGATGAATCTCTGTAATTGATGGGCACTCCTGACCTTCAAGACACATTCGTGGAGTGCGTATTGATCAAGGTTGTACTTCTTGCACTTCGTTCATGAACGATCCAATAGTCAAGAATGAGACCGTCGGCATAATAATATTCAAAATTGTTTTTCTTAAAATAAAATAAGGAGAAAATTAGTTGTACAATCAACAGCACGAGAATGAACATAATTCGATAAACAAATCAAGAGATAGTTTATTGTTTTGAGATAAAAAATCTTTCAAATTTTACAAGATATTTTAAATTATATGTAAGAAATATATCAATATTTAAGAGACTTTTGTAAATTCAAATATTTAAAAATCATAATGAACAACTATGTTTTATGTCTTTTATAAGTCATTAATAGTAGTATTATTGAATGAATTTTGATTCTTTCAACCTGAATAATCTTTCAATTTCACTTTAATTAGGTTATATATGACAAAAAGGAATTTATGTAAGCTAATATGTGCTTCATATTATAATCAGTTCAAGTATAAACATAAATCTTCAATGCGAATAACATAATATTTTCTTGGAAAAATCACCTTTCCACTTGTATAATAGTGAAAGTTGGTATTAGTTTATATTTAATTAGATATTAACTATTTGATTAGTTTTGGCATCTATTAAGTTATGTTTGTGAATTTATTTATTATTTAAATTATCACAATAGCATGTATATTTTGAGATTTGATGTGATAATTGTAATAATAGATAATTATCAAAATAGAATATAATGATAAAGATCTCATACCACGAGGGTAGAAATAATACCAGAGAATCAAATACTATCACAAATTAACATTCTATTTAAGAGTTTTACTTCTGATGTACATGTTACTCTTAGAAGCGATTGCAATTGCTATCGCCAAATGCAACACAATGCAGGGTGAAATCACACTCAAATCCTGAAATTCATCCAATAAATCCCCACGGAAGCAACAAGTAACTCTGCAATTGATATTCTGGGGAGAAATTTCCCAAAATTACACACTCAACCCGCTGCAACGAGCTTTCAATGTACAAATTTGCTTAAATCATGAGCTACACTATGCACCACTCAGAACATCTGAATTAGACTCTTTACTTCAGATGCGATATCTTCTACAAACTGAAGCAACTCGCGCATAGTGACAAAACGCACAAATCACAAACGCGGAGAGGAATGTGTACTGAAAACTGAAAAATTGACTAATGGAAAAGCCCCAGTGGGCAAATCCTTGAAATCTCTTTATTCACAACGAACACCCGTAGTCATCACCCACAAGCTGCGAGCCCCCATCAGCCCCCAAATGCAACATTAGCAGATGCAACAGTTGTCATATTAGTTGAGCTCCTATTTACTCCTATCCTACTCAAAACGGCTGAAAGTTCTAATTCTAAGTTCTCCTTCGTCTACTCGAACATATATAAACGATAAACGATATGAACGAATTGATCTTTTTACCTAACCTACCGATGTCATGCAGCTCTGCTGGCTCCCAATTCCTTCACTTGACGCTCCAGCTCATCCAATTTTGTCCACTTTAGAGTCTGGATCTCCCATTCCACATAACCGCGAAGACCTTGCTGTACCCGCGCACAACTGTCCGCCAATCTAACTGCTGGACTGTCGCCTCCGTCTCCACCAACTTCGCTTGAGCCACGATCAACTGCTCCTCGACTGTCGACAGTTGAGAACGCAATTTGCTGCAATCCGCGTCTAATTCCTTTCTACGCTCTAACTCCGATGTCCGAACAGCTTTGCAATCCTGCAATTCTTTTGCCTTCAGTGCCAAATCAACAGCATGCGATTGATCTCTTGCCTTCAGAGTTGCCGTCAGCTCCTCCGTGCGCTTGAATTTCCTTGCAAATACCTTCTGAGACAATTCCAATTTGTCTCGAAGTTCCACCATTACCTTCTGCGCATTGCTGATGTTGAGCCGAAGGTCCTTGCACTCAAGCTCCGACTTCGTATGAAGATACTTCTCAGCTGTTAAACTTCTCCGAAGTTTTGCACATTCGAACTCCTTGTGCTGAAGTTTCTCATCCCGCTCTTGCAAGATAGCTGTCTTGGCCGCGCACTCAAAAGTTAAGCTCGCCACTCTTTCTGCTACCTCCATAGATGCTACCGCCTTCGTCCTACTACGCACTAACTCTACGTAAGCATCTGCTAACTTTGGCTCAAAGTACTTTGTCATCTTCCCATCTAAATACCTGAGTAAGTGAACTATCCGATCACTCAAAGTGTCAGCTACACTAAGTTCTATTGTCTTTGGTTCTTCGCCACAATCAAAATTGATTGTACCCGAAGACACAAAGGCATTGCTTGTTGCTCAGCGACAGTCTTTTCCACTTCCGCCACCACTCGATCCAGAAGTTCTTCAATCGAATTGGGCTCCACCGCCGGCTCTTCCAACTCTCCAGGTACATCCAAAGTTTCCTTACCCAAAGGCCGCAGATCTTCAGCCGAAGTCGCTGGTGGTTGTTCTGAAGGCCGAAGTTATTAACTCGAAGTCTCTCTCTCAGTATCACCTTTTTGTTCTTCCCCTTACTCCAACGGACCTTTCATGAACATGGCCGAAGATCTCCATTCCGAAGGCCAAAGGTCCTTCGCTGAAGGCCATTCGTCTTTTGTTCCCGCTGCTTGCACTTCCATTTTGGCCCATTCCGCTGAAGTCACTAGATGTTGTGATGTTGCTTTGCTACACCCTATACTATCCTCTTCTTCAATCCATTGGCGTCGCACCTTCATCTTGCTACGGGAATGCACACTCGTTGTACTCATCCGCATAGGAATCGATCTTCTAGCCCGCAATCCTACACGTCAATCCACAATCTCTGAAGTCGTAGTCCTCTGCAATTTCCGGCGCTTCTTTGCTAGTCGTTCCTCAATGTCGTCGTCCGACTTGTCAGCTTCGGCCAAAGACGATGCAGGTTCAAAGTTGTACTCCTCACTGGAAACTTCATTGCCTCCCAGCTAGGCTTGGAGGCACAACTAAAAAGCCATGCTCCCGGGCGAGGGCACATGGACACTTCCAGGGGCATGCCTCATTTGCATTTTGTATATGGAGCATGTCAATATATACATACGTATGAATCATAAATGTAACATCAAAACATACCTATAAGCTCCAATTATAGATAGTGGAGTAAATGAAGAATCAAAAATTTTCAAGGATTTGGTTGCCTCCGTCGGATTAACAACGGGTTTACAACATTTTTGACAAAGCTTTTGAAACAAAATCCATCAAACACAACTCTGTGAAATCTTGTTTACAGAATTGACAGATTTTATTTATGAGGTCACGATGAAATTTGTTATTTCATGAACGTAGATCTACGTTCAACTACAATTCTGTTTCTTCAAAGTCAGTAATGTGATTCTAAGGGTTTAGTCTAGATTGAGTTTCATGAGTATGTAAAAATTTTAGAAAACTAACGAATGCAATCATGTTGCTTTAAACAGAGGATGCCTTGAAGAAGTTGGACAGTGCTGCTGGATTTTTGCTGGATAATGACATGGAGACTGCTTGTGGATAACTGACATGCTGCCTGTAGGCAATTATTTCAAAAGCCTGCACATAATTCGAGATGACATTGACAAGATTTTCAGTTCTTGACCAGGCAGGTGAGTGCTCATGAAATGTACATGGTATTTATTTTTTTACTATAAGTTTTTCTATAGGCAGAAAAGAAGAGAGGTAGACTAACACCAATTGCGTGAAGGATTTAACTTCAGATTTTGCCCCTTATTTACTGCATCTCATTAGACTGCGTTGATTGGAGTTCAAACATTGCTCTAAGAATCCAATTTACAGATTTGTCTTGAAGTTTGAGTGTCGCTACATAGTATAAACACCTTTTTGATAATTCAAATTCTACAAAAATGATAATATAAATGGTGTCAAGACCGTAAGATGCTAACATACTTGTCACCCGCTGAGGTCGTCAACATCGCGTAATGATTTCTCCAAAGACAACAGTGTCTTCCTTAGTTTGTCATGTAAATCAAGGTTGATCACCTGTACGTGATATTAATCAAATGGCTTGCAAAGGAAGAAAGGATTTTTCTAAAGCCCACTGTCCAAACATTCAACTGCCTCAAGGTCGTGAGCATTAATACTCGTCCTCACTGGATTTTTCAATAATTTCTCCAAAAAACTACCCAGCCAGAGCAATAATAGCATAATGCAGAAACAAGTATCACAAGTTAATTGCACTTTTGCATAGTACTCAAGAGAGGGATGCGAGCGCCAATCTATGGTTCTGGCACTACGAGATGGGTCAAGCACCTTGTACTCAACTAGCCTTGCAGCAAGATAGCTTTTGATGATTGTATCGTTTCCTTGCCTAAAGCACATGGAGAGGTGGCTCAAATGTTTGAACTGATTCGTCTCCACAATGCTAAACGTTAAATCCCCAGTTCACACACTCAACATTGCCAAGAACCTGCTTATAGCAAAGGTCAAAGCTATTAATCTAGCCAAGTGTTCTTCCGATCGTGTTCCTCGTCTACGCACCAGAAGGCAACGATGCATTAGCTTAAGCTTCCATATGCAAAGCTTTAACTACGGTGCGAGTTCTAGCGAGAGCAAAATGAATCAGGTAATAATCCAATGCATCATGAAGTTAAATGTTTACATGTGATTGATTCAATACTCCTCTCCAATATCTTAAATCAGCGATAAGATACCATAATTTCACTCCATGACAGTCATCCAAAAAAGGTAGGAAACAATGATCAATGTGCAGCTTGGAGACCTGGATTGTTTCTTAAAGATAAGTTTCATATTTCTTAGGATCACCAAACATTTTGTGAATCTCCCGAATCCGCAATTGTGGAAGGAATAAAGATTCGATCAAAGTCCTAGATTCAAAGATAATATAAGTTGAAGATATGTCTGTGCTTCGTATTCTGATGAC